TGGACACAACTGGACTTGACACCATGTCATTGTCTTGGGCATTCTCTGGGTATCCAGCGTTCTCCAGCTTCTTAATTATATTCACGCATGAGCAGTAATGATCAGAGGGAGGGGCTCACTCTCACCTTGTAACTCCCCTAAATCCCATCCTCACCTGGCCCATTCTTTTGTACACAGCTCATCTCCCTCTGGTGCAAGCCTCTGTGAACTGGTGTGTGATTGTCTTAATTTTACTCTAAGACGTCCTTCCCCATGAAAATGTATGAGATCTTTTTTCCTGAGAGGAGTTCTGATAAGCCATCATTTTTCTCTTATGTTTTAAGGAAATGTTTGTGGCCATTCTAGTTTTGTTTCAATATGTGTTCCCTGCCCAAGGATTACAAAAGATAAGGCAAGAGCTGGATACTGGTGTCTCAGGCCTGTAATCCTAGCTGTTCAAGAGGCTGAGATCTGAGGAGTTAGGTTAGACTCTTGCCTAGGGAGAAAAATCTGAGACTCTTATCTCCAATGAACCATCAAAAAAGCTGGAAGTATAGCTGTGGCTCAAGTGTTTAGAGCCCTAGCCTTAGAGTGAAATAGACAAGCAAGAGTATGAGGCTTTGAGTTCAAGCCTCAGTATTGGTAACATGCGCACGTACACACTCCTCACTCCCCCCCAAAAATGATGAAAGCAATAAAGCAGTCTCTAAAACCCTCTCCTCCAAACATACAAACAGCTCAATCTTTTTTGTCTTATTTATTTTTTTATGTATTTATTTATTATTGTGAGAATACAGAGTTACAATTACATGGGCAAGATAACGAGTACATTTCTTATCAAGCATTGTTGCCTCTTCTTTGTTTCCCCTTCCCATCCCTTCCCATATTCCCTCTTCCCTCCACCTGATCCTCCCCTGACCCCCCACCAAAGTTGTAAAGTTCGTTTTTCGACATAACAACTTGTACATCTCATTGTTACAGTGGGTCCACCTGTATCCCTAGTGAAATGGTTTGTTTTTCCCCTTCCCCTCCACAAATTATAACAACATCAAATACAGTGAAAGCATGGGTTATACCGTGGGGGAGGGACATACAACAACATAGAAATCATCTTATAAATATGTTAGAAACAATTGCATAAAAGGAAAAAAAAAACAAAAAAAACACATTTGAATATTTATCTTGGGGTTCCTTCCCCTAACATCAACTTATCTGACCTTTTCTGCTTGACTCAGACATATACTAGTTATTGCAAATAAGGGAAACTATGGGACCTATGTTTCTTTGGGCCTGGCTTACTTCACTTAATATAATTTTGCCCCTTAGTAGATGAAAGGATTAAGAAAATGTGGTATATATACACAATGGAAATCTATGCCTCCATCAGAAAGAATGACACTGCCCCACTTGTTAGGAAACAACTCGATCTTTTGAGGGATTGAGTATGAACATGTCTAACCTCTCTTAGGAATAATTGCTGGCTTACTCTGATACACAGGACTTAAAGCTGATCTCCCCAAACTCTGCATCATGAAGTTTTGAGTGGGATTTCAGAGGTGGGCCATGCATAGTTAATGGTAAGTCCATATAGCAATCTTGTACTTAAACAATGTTCTTCAGAGACACTGGGATTCCCAGCCTAGGCTTTCTGCTCCCAGATTCAGTGTCTCTGTTTCAGAAACTGTCAGGAACACCACTACCCATCTCCACTTACCTGCCATACATGAACCCTGGAGATAGGAACATAGTCCCCAAGCCCCTCTGCTCAGTACTCCAGTTCTTCTAGAAATTCTTTCTTTTTATTCCTTGGCTTGGGTATTTTTTTTCCAGTCCTGGGGCTTGAACTCTGGATCTGGGCACTGTCCCTGCACTCTTCAGCTCAAGGCAAGCGCTCTACCACTTGAGCCACAGCTCCACTTCCGATTTTCTAGTGGTTAATTGGAGATGAGTCTCATGGACTTTCCTGCCCAGGCTGGTTTTGGACCATGACTCAGATCTCAGCCTCCTGAGTACCTAGGATTACAGGTGTGAGCCACTGGCGCCCAGCAGGTATTTTGATGAATGTTGTTGGTCCAAAGATGACTGTTCTCTCTTTCTTCAGAACTCGCGGGGTGATCTTCCTTCCTATTTCTTTGTGATGATGTCTCTAGGAACTAGGTCTGGTTAGATCCTGGGTAGGACCTCCCCCAATACAAAAACACAATGATGGGGTGATGGTCATCTCTACCCAAGGCTGCAAGAGTATTCTAAGATAACTTCTCCCTGTCTCCTGTAATACTTAAGACAATCTGCATCCACAGATTTAGTACCATTCCTGCTTTCGTCTTTTATGAATTTCCTGCCAAAATCATTTGCCAGTTTTCCTCGTGGAGGGCTTATTCATTCCTTTTGCTGATTGACAATACTGGGACCAAATATACTCCTTTTAGCTGGCATATAGATTACATGTATTGTTCTCTGCTTGTCACTCCACTTTCCATTTTGCTTCAGACTTTTGTGAACGTACAAAACGCACTCTGACATCATAGTCATTAGGAAGTTATACAATAGCATAACTTTTAAGAACTTGATTTTTTAAGACTGTCATTATTTCCTAGTTTCAGTGAATTGCTTAGGAAATGTTGAAACTCAACTCTATACAATTCTCTTCTTTGAAGGATTTATTAACATTATACTTGTGGTCTAGTTTATGATCATTTTATAAACCTATTTCTGAGCAGAAATTTCACTCTCTTTACATTAGCATAAGCTTTGTAAATATATTGATGTGTTTGTATATAGATATGTGTGTGTGTGTGTGTGTGTCGGGGGGTTACACAGAAATGCTTGACATCTTGGCTGTTTTTTTTTATTTGATTAGATCTAAAATATAGGTTAAAGCTTTCAACTACTGTGGGTTTTTTTCATCTTTTTTCCTTTTATGTCTCTTGATTAGTAGATTCAGTAACTGACTATTTCAGTCCACTTAGTGGTTCTGATTTTTTTTTTTTGGTTAAGATTCTACTTGGAGGCATTCACATTATTATTATTTTTTTTACAACAACTGCTTTGTGATTATTTCCCTTTCTTTATTATGTCTTTGTTCAACTTGTTATTTTTAAGGTTACTGAGTCATTCTGTTTTAGGTGTTTATCTTACAGCATACAATTAGACTTTGATTATTTAGACAGTCTGGGAGCTTTTCCCTGTTTTAACCCATTTATATTTATTGTCAAAACAGAAATATTTTTTCCTTACTTTTGTCATTTCTTTTAATTACACAGTGTGAATGCTTTCATGCTATTTCTTTTAAAATGTATTTACTTTATATGTTCTATTTTCTTTCATTTTTTCCCTTTGGACATTGTTTTTGGTTTCCTTTGAATTGTTTCCTCATAGAACATTGTTTTGTTGGTTTCCCTTTCTGCAGGAGAAAGGACCTGTAAAGTCATTCTTTTTGCAAGCTTTCCCCATTTGTTGCACAATTGATTTGCTCATTCTCTCTGAACCTACCTGCTATCTTAACAAACCACTCTTCTAGAAGGGTCATTGCACTGGGGCAGCTGTCCTATCTGGTAAAATGGTCATCTCCAATCACTTCACCTAAGCTCCATGCGACCACTTCACTGATATATCTTACCACCCAAGAAGGTTGATATTCACCACCATTGACACCTTCTCCACCAGGGCTTAATTAGCTCACTGTCACAGTTGATGGAGTTCTGGGCTTCACTAATATTGACCTTGGAACTCACTGACCTGCATCACATGAACTACAAAAAGAAGGAAAACCTTCTACATAAAGATTTTCTAGTTGTCTCATTACTGATCTTATGAGCTGAGGAGTAGAAGACTGGAGGGCAAAGAGTCCATTTTGGCGCTCACAAGGAGGTAGAGATGGGAAATGATGGCAGTTTGAACCAGGACAGTGGCACTGATTTCTGACTGGTTGTGGTCCACTTTAAAAGCCTATTATTGCTAGGTGCTGGTGGCTCATACCTGTAATCCTAGTTACTCAGGAGGTTGAGATCTGAGGATCATAGTTCAAGCCTGACCAAGCAGGAAAGCCCATGAAACTCTTATGTCTTAATACCCACTAGAAAACTGGAATTGCCACTGTAGCTCAAGTAGTAGAGTGCTAACTTTGGGCAAAAAGAGCTAAACCAGTGAGGCTGAGCATGGGGCTATATGCCTGTCATCCCAGCCACAAAGGAAGCATGCATAGGAGTGTAGTTCAGTCTGGCCTAGATAAACCATGAGAACCTATCTCAAAAATAAGATAAAGCAAAAAGGGCTAGGAACATGAATCAAGTGATCAAGTCCTGACAAACACAAGGCCCTGAGTTCAAACACTAGTACTAACATGAGGAAAGACAACCAAGAAGAATAATAAAATGCAGTATGTGGGGGAGGGGTTAGGTCAAGGTCAAGGTCACTGGCATTTGTAGTTAGTGTGAATGAAAATTAGGTCAAGGTGGGAATTTAGAAGTCTTTTTGCCTTCTTGACGATGTAACCTCTGTTGGGATTGGATGAGTGGATGATGAAAGTTACGACCTTTTCTGGGATTGGATGGGTGGATGAGGAAAGATTTTACCTCTGCTGGGATTGGATGGGTGGATGTGTAGAATGCAGAAGTTGGGGTCCTGAGTTCATGCCCCAGTAGTAGCACATATGCGCACATATACAGAAATCAGGGTATTAGGAAGTAGTTCTTTACTGGGCTTCATGTGGAGTCCCAAAGAGAAAGGTGCAGATCGAGGCCCAGGTTATGTTGGGGTTGTTTTTCTTACATTCAAATATTATTTCTGAAACCTATTAAAAATGTTCTATGTGGCTGACTTCATTTGGTAGTCACCAGAGTGTGGCCTTTTTGCCTTGCTTTGGAAATCCAGGTTGACTGCCAGTGTGGCATGCTGCCCCGATGCAAGGGCTCTTCGATTGGTTCTGATGAGAGCTGAAACCAAAGAGGGTCTGGGCAGCTTTCTACAATGAATGCTTACCATTGCTTCTGTGACACTGATTCCTGCCTTGTGTATTGCAGGTGATATTTGAATCCGTCTCTTTGAAGGGTCATCCCGGCTACATTGCAGTAGACGAGGTCCGGGTCCTTGCTCATCCATGCAGTAAGTCTGTCTTCTTCTCCCAGCCCAGCTGCAATGTCCCTATTCATTCAGCTCACAGACCCCTCCCTACCTCCCTCTCTCTCTTCTCTTTCTATCCTTCAAAAATGCTTACATACCCAATGTAATCAGTCCTGAATAAATCCATAATTTTTCTGGCCTGTTCAACAGGCTTCACCTCCAGGAATTTGCAGAAAGAGAGAGCAAGAGCATGAACATCGTTGTTTGAAATCTCTCTCCATTATTAAAGTAGTCTAAAGTCCTGATTGTTTATTAGTGGGATTCAGACTGCTGAAGTGGAAGAATTAGAGGGCCTTGGATAGAATCTTGTACAATTGTCTTAAAAAATAAAAGAACAACACCAAAACACTGAGCAAATTAGCATACTCTTCACACAGGAAAAGTACCCCAAAGTTAATAATTCTTTAAAAATTAATTCTAAATACACTCATCAGCTCCATGTAGGCATAGGAAGAGATTTCTCCTTGTGGTTCGTACTTATGGCACAGTGTCAAGAGTCCTTCAAGGCATGCTGCTCCTTAGTGTCCATCCACTTGCCCTCTCTCTTTGAAGCATTTTGTTGAAGATACTTGAATGGATTTGCTCAGTAGAGAAACCTAGATCCTGCCAAATCAAAGAACAGCCCAAATCCTGGGTGTAGGTAGCTATGATGGCATCGTATCTTGAGACCGTTAGCTGGAGGACTGGATTTAAAAGGATATGCCCAAGGATGATGGCAGGACTTGGAAGGGGTACTTAGATGTCCCATCATGTTGCTTTGAGATGATTCTTCTTACTTCAAAAAGCAGTCAGGCCTTCAGATATCACTTTTTCCCCCTCTTCCTGCCACTACAGTGTTATGCTGTGCCTCATTACCTTCTAGTATTTATTTTTGTTGAAGGAATTGGGAACAATTTCCAAACAATACTTTGGGGATGTTGGCTTTGGTGTGTATGCAAGAGAGACCCTGGTCCTGGGAATCAGCGTCTCAGGAAGAGATACTCTGGACTCTGTTACTCTGGCTTAAGTCACTACTCTGCTTTCTGTCTTAAGCCTTAGATATTCTTCAATGTGCAGTGTGTATTCCATTCAGTCGTGCCTGGGCAATGTCTGCTGAGCCAGACCTTCTATTGAGAAGAGTCCAGAGATTCCCAGCTCTGCAGGGTTGATATGGCAGACATGCAAATGGAGGCCTCTTACTGGATTGAATATTCTCTACCTTTGACTCCTGGATGTCAACTGTGTCACCTGTTTATTAGAGAATGATTTTTGTTCTAAAGATTGTCAGTGATGTCAGGAAAGTTTCCACAGCACAGTTTTCATTTTTTTAAGAGTTGAGATAGATTCTAACTCAGGGACCTCATACTTGCTAGGAAAGCACTCTACCACTGAGCCACACCTCCATCCATTTAATTGGTTTTTTTTTTCCTTTTTCAGCTCATGGCTCATATTTTTCCCCTTGCATTGACCTCAGATTGTGGTCCTCCTACAGCCTCCATCTCCCAAGTATTTGGGATTACAAGTTTGTGCTACTATACCAGGCCTCTTAATTTCACTGGCACCACTGGCACCTGTCTGTCCTATAAAGCATGCTCCCCCGAGTTCTGATTCTCATCCAGTGTTTGATATTTAGACTTGATCTTTCTAGCAATGGACACGGAAACTGGTATGGCGTTCTCTTCCTGGGTCCCAGAGCTCTGCACTCTAGTGGCAATGTTCAACCTCCACCATCATAATCTGACACTCATCTCTTAGTAGAAGTTCCGTCTTAGCTCCAAACACGATCCATAGTTTGTCCTCACAGCAAATAACTCCCTTCTCTCTGATTTAGCCCCACAGGAGAGAATTTAGTTCCATGGAAGGCATTCGGATAGCTTTCTACCACCAAAGCCTCAGAGCTCTTTTAGAATTCTCCCTTCGTGGGGGCTGCTTCCCTTGAGGGCTTCCTCCTCCTCCTCCCTCTGAGATGCATGGATGGCGTGGTTATAGAACTGCTGAGAGCCAGTTACCCAGCAAATGGGCCATCACTCAGGTGGGCATGGCCCAGGCTCTCCTGCGTGGTGTGCTGTGGCCAAGCTCAACTTCAGTGCTTAGCCAGCGTCCACATAAACTTCCCAGAAAGCACATGAGTGGCTGGAATGGGGAAAACTGCATTTAAATATATGTAAACACTGGCGGTGGACACAGTCATCTGGGGGTATTTCCACAGCTCCTGCACTGAATCACAGGTAGCCCAGCACTTTACGCATTCCTTCTTTCAACAAGTAAATTGAGCTGTGTGTTAAGAGCTTTCCTGGGCATCGTGAATTCTTGAGGAAGGACCGTTCAGTCTTTGTCTTCATGGTGTTTACTTGGCAGGATGGCCAGAGGGAAGAAAGGTGTTATTTTTTTTTAAGTAACTAATATGAAATAAGTAATAAGTGATTTCAGAGAGGAATAAGTAATAAGCAGTAAGTGCTAAGATGTACTTAGCAGTAAGTACTGTGGGTATGATTAACATGGGTGAGGGCTTCTTAGGTAGTAGGAAGGGAGGGTATGTTTGAAGATGATATGCTGATTTGGGGCTTGAATCACAGGAAGAAGTTGACTATGTGAAGATTTGGGGGAGGGAACATTCTAGTCAGAGGAAGTAGCAAGTTCAGGGGCTTGGGAATGAGAGCGGCTGGATGCTGCCTGAGCTCCTGAACACATGGAACATGACAGAAGGCGGCCTCATGGAGCTGGGGTCTGGCGTTTGCGGTTTAGATCTTCACTGGGTGCCAGGAAGCAGTGCTGGAGCGGGTACATGCTCAGGACTGGTATGGCCTCAGTCATGAGAGGATCACTTCACACTACTCTGGAAAATGAATTGAATGGCTCTAGGAAGTTCAGGAGACCCAAGAGCAAGAACATTCTAGAATCATAGAAGACATAGTGCTGGCCTGGACCAGGGCAGTAGAGAGTCATCCATTCATCAGCCAAAGAGTGTTTACTGAGCACATGCTTAGTGCCAGGTACTGTGCTGGGTTTATTTATGGAGTGTGCAAGGCAGACTCTGTTCTTGTAGACTTCCACTGAAATGAAAGAAATGGAAAAGAAAACAAGCAGTCAGGTGTTTCTGTGATGCGCAGCAGAGGATGTATTATGGTGTGAGGACTGGCATCTTTCTTTGCACATTAGACTGAGTGTTTAAGCAACCAATATGCCTCCTCTTACAGTTCTTCAAGGGCGAAGTCCAAGATCACAATGTTGCCAAACTTGGTTTTTCACAGACCACACTCCCCAGGGCTGGCATACGGCTATATGTACATTGTTTGTCTAGATTTACAAGTTTCTTTATCTTTAATAGTATCTTGACAAGCCTTAATTATGTGGGTTTTCATAAATCCTAGCAAGTGGATAGCCAGCCATTTCTCTTCCCCTTTCTTTATTATTATTATTATTTTTTTGTGGGTCGTGGGCCTGAACTCTGGGCCTGGGTGCTGTCCCTCAGCTCTTCAGCTCAAGGCTAGCGCTCTACCACTTGAGCCATAGAACCGCTTCCAGCTTTTTCTGCTTATGTGGTGCTAAGGAATCGAACCCAGGGCCTCATGCATGCAAGGCAAGCACTCTACCACTGAGCTACCTTCCCAGCCCCTTGCCTTCCCCTTTCTTTCCACATCTCTTCTTCCTATAAGAACATCAGTCAGGTTAGATGAGGACTACACTTTAATGTAGTTGCTTCTTTTAAGGTCCTGTTTCTTTTTTAAAATGTTTTTTATTTGTAAAAATAGTGTACAGAGGGGTTACAGTTACATGAGTAAGGTAATGAGTACATATCCTATTGAGCATTGTTACCTCCTCCTTTGTTTTTCCCCTACTATCCTTTCCCTCCCTACATCCTCAACTCCTCCCTCCCCTCACCACAAGTTGTAAAGTTCGTTTTCTACATAGTGTCTTGCACATCTCATTGTTACAATGGGTCAACTTGTATCCTTGTTTCAGCATTTTGTTATTTCCCTTCCATTCCCTAAATTAGCAAAATGTATATGCAAGATGCAGGGCACCGACATCAAATACAGTGAAGACAGGGGTTATACCTGGGAGAAGAACATACAAGAGAAACAAGAAAAATCACATAGTACATTTTAGATACATTAAAAACAATAGCAAGAAAGAAAAAACCAAGTTGTGTCCCCATCTTGGGGTTCATTTCACTTAACGTCATCTTATATGGTCATATGTACATAGCTTTGGTTAAGGTCCTGTTTCTTAAACATGGAAGCGCTAGGGGATAGATCTTCAATTTAGGGCGATGGGCCCAATTCAATTCATAATGGACAGTCATCACTGCGAGAACAGAGCAGAACCTGGAAATGGCAGGTAGTGGCTGGGGTAGAGACTTATGAGAACACTAGGGCCAATTCGTCTTATTGATGATTCAGATTGTGAGAAGTGAGGGGGAGAGGGGGATCAAAATGTCACTCTCAAATGGCTGGCTTACGCAAGGTGGTGAAAATCTGCAGATAACTGAGCATGCATGATGAATGTACTCTTCCCCCCAACCTTTACACATGCTATGGACCTGAAGCTAACTGAGCATGTGTGTTGCAATCCCCACTATACATATACACGCTGGGCCGGGGAGCTACTTAAGAGATTTCATGTCATACAGCCTGCTACCATTTCTGCAGCTGTCCTCGAAGCAGAAAGTACTTTGCGGGCCTCCTAGCCTCAGAATTTTATGACTTTCCTCATAGATTGTTAAAAATTTAAGTATATTAAAAAATATGCATTTCCTTTATGTCCTCAAGCACTTTAATTCTCTACTCCTGTCCTTCAGAATGTTTTCTGTTAACATATGACCAGGGTTTAGTAATAACTGATTCCATAAATTATCCCAAAACTTCTAGAGAATCGGGGCCTGTGTCTGCCCTCCACGCACTACGACTGAAGTTGTACCATTAAACGCGTGTCTTGAGATGTTCCAAAACAGTGATCCAACAGTGTGACACACAAAAGAAATTATTTTCTCTTACTGTCTGAAACTTCTTGTCTATATTTTATAGCCCATTTAGCTTTTGTGTGTGTGTGATTCCAAAAATATTTTGGCCCTGGTTACCACACACTGCTTGTTTCTCAGTATTTGTCATTAGCAGGGCCATTGCAGTTATAACGATGTATGATAAATGTCAGCGTGATTTTCCACTGGGTTTCAAAGTTTCTAACTACTAAGTTGACTTTTAGAATTTTTCAAACCTGTTTTTTTTTTTAAGCTCGTCACAAGCTTATGGGGCCATGTTCCTGAGCCCACAGAGCATCTGCAGTGTATTTCTAATGTATGTCCTGAGCATTTCTGTTCAATTGTGCAGGCTCCTACTGAGCATTGTCAGGCTTAAAGAGCGTGATAAAGGGCACAACAATACGTCTTTAGATGCTATGCTGACATCTTCAGGAGCTTAAATGTCACCAACATGGAGGCATTTTGCCCCAACTGCACAGCCAGTTTGTTCTTAACCCCATTCAGCAGGATCCCATTTTGGAGGAGCTGAGGGGACATTTTAAAATCATAAGCTGGTGTCAGGCCTAGGTCCTAAGGTCAGCCTTGTTTGGCTAAATTAAAGTTAGTGGAATAATTTCTCTCCTAGAGCTTCAGAGGTTGAGGCTGGGGCCGTAAACATGGAAAGCTTGCTTGGCTGAAGAGGATGATGGACAAAGCAAGTCAGGGAGGCTAGGAACCCAGACAAGAGGCCTAAGCAGGTTCCTCTCATAAGGAGGATTCCCCCAGAGAGAAAGCTAATAGGAGAGGTGATCCAGGGCCTTGTAGAGCTGAGATGAGATCGTAAGGGCCTGCAGACCGAATGCTGAGAGAGAAGAGGGTGGTGGTGTGAGTTCTATGGTCCAGGCCAGCTCTCCCTTGATTCTCATGCCATATTATGTAGAAGTATTACTGTATTTCTGGAGGACCATGTGGGCAAGCCTGAACCATGGGGATTTTCCCAGATAACTTACATAAGAATATGTATCAGAGGCCACAGGCTTGATAGAAACTGCCTACCTCTGGAGTTTGGATAAACCTGTGGTTTAATAAATCCAGCCAAGATCTTAAGATGCGAGAGCTCCATAATATCGGCATTTCTTACTTCCCTGGCCAAATCAGATGATTGACAGTCCTTAGCAAAACCTTCTTACCTACACCTGGAGTTTAGTAACAACTAATTACCCTTCTGACATACTTGACAGCCTCTCCCTTTCTGAGGAGCTCCAGGTCCCATGTTATCACTGCTTCCGGTTGCCTTCCCAGTCTTGAAGCTCGTTTCCTTGTCTCTTTCCCTATACAGAAAAAACACACAAGCACACATTCATTTCTAAGTCACTATCAGAAGTGGGGAAATCAAAAGACAGGGCAAGGAAGTGGTGTTTTTGCTGCTTTTGATTTACATCTGAACCACTTCATTAACTCACATAACTGGCAGCTCCCTGTAGGCATATGGGTTCCACATCTTTGCTGTAAGTCACAGCATTTTGCCTGAATATTAACCAGGGACCGTGAGACATCTATATTTTGCATCTATATGGGAGGGAGGAGAGGGCTTGCAGACTAGAGAATCAAGATAAAAGATCTTTTGCTAGTCAGGTGCCAGTGTCTCCTACTTATAGTCCTAGCTATTTAGGAAGCTGAGATCTGAGGATTGCAGTTCAAAGCCAGCCCTGGCAGGAAAGTCTGTGAGACTCTTATCTCCAATGAACCACCAGAAAACTGGAAGTAGCACTGTGGCTCAAAGTGGTAGAGTGCTAGCCTTGAACAAAAGGGCCCAGGCCCTGAGTTCAAGCCCCACAACTGACAAGAAAAAAAAACCCAAAAGGTCTGTTGCTGTGGAGGGAGATAAGGAAAGAAGTCAGAAACAAGCAAGGGACCATTGATTTAGAGAAGATCCATCTCTCACTGTTCATGTCCCAGAGCTTAGTGCTTGCCCAGAGTCTCAAAAGGGAGGGAAGAGCAGCCCTTTTTAAAACCCAACACTGAGCTTCCGGCCTTGGAGTCAATGCTTCCCCCTCCCTTCCTATCCAGATCTGATGCTGTCTTCGTCCTTTAAACCTGTGGCATATACAAAGGTTCACTCTATTCCCCCTTGAAGAATTGACTCGAACTGATAGTTCCAAAAATAACTTGACCAAATTATACAGGAGAGCCCACAAGGAAACAATTTCAAGCAATCAAAGCAGCATGATGTTTGTCAGGCTGGCTAAAAGGCAGGTGGGGGGATCTTAAACTCTGAGAAACCCACCCGAGGCCGTGCAAGTAGGGTCTCTGAGCCGTGGTCATGATTTAAAAAAACTTGAACAGAAGGAGAAAATGTTCTCACAGCAAGTGTCCCTGATCAAGCCAAGGTTCTTGGCTTCTGCAGGTCCTTTACAGTTGGGTAGACAAGAGAGTTCAAAGCATAAAGCCCCTGGAGAAAAACAGCAAGGAAAGGGATCACTTCTCAAATATTAGGGAGCAAGTGGAGAAGCCTGTAGAGACAGCACAGCCTTGCCTGAGAGCCCTTTCTCAGGCCCCTGAGGTTTTTATCTGATGACAGCATCTTCACTCCCAATGCCCAGGATGCAAGAGAATGAGCGAGGTAAAAGCCAAAGTGTGGGCTAAAATAGAACTGGAATCAGTTCTTTGCCCGTCTCTGGCTAAAGCTCTATAGCTTTGGGAACAATGAACTTGTTGATCGTTGGTTTCTCCTTCTCTAGTAAGGAAATGATACTGGCATCTGCTTCACAGGGAGGCCATGAAAAATTAAATTAGATAAAACACCCGAAGCACTTGTCATCAGATCTGACACTGGAGGACTTTTCAATGATATTATTGTTCCTGTTTATCTCTCTGAATACTTGTCTCTCTCTGGAAAGATGGCCAGAGGTCCTGGTGGGTTCTTTTCATCTTCTTAGAACTCTTTTGTTTGGTCTCATTCTGGGGAGGGGCTTCAGTCCCCATTTCCTAAATGTTTTGTTGATGGTGGTAGGGATCCTCTATTGTGATATGAAGAAACTTGTTCATCTAATCATTGGTTATCAATGGATGGAGCTCTAATATTGATGACATATATGTATATGTATATATATCATTATTTGATATATATCATCATTGATATGATATATATATATAGAGAGAGAGGAGACCAGTCTCCACAAATAAGAAAGAAGGTGAGCCGGGTGCCCATAGTTTATACCTGTAATCCTAGTTACTCAGGAGGCTGAGATCTGAGGATTGCAGTTCAAAGCCAGCCTGGGCAATGAAGGTCCATGAGACTTTTAGTTCCAATTAACCCCCAGAAAACCAGAAGTGTTGCTGTAGCTCAGTAGTAGTTTAAGCTTGCCTTGAGCTGAAGAGCTGAGGGACAGCACCCAGGCCCAGAGTTCAAGCCCCACAACCGACAGAAAAAAAAAAGGAAAGAAGGTGATCCCAAGTTCTCCATCCAAAATCATATGCTAGCCAGCTTCCAGTGGCTCATTCCTGTTGTAATCCTAGATACTCACAAAGCTGAGATTCCAGGATGGAGGTTTAAAGTTCAGGTGGATAAATCAGACAAACCCATCTCTCCAATTAGCCAACCAAAAGCCAGATGTAGAGGAGTGGCTCAACTGGTAGAACACCAACTTTGAGTGCAAAAAGCCAAGCAAGAGTGCAGGGACCTGAGTTCAAGCCCCAGTAATGGCTCAACTTAAAAAGCAAAAATAAAACAAAACCACAGACCCTACATTTGCTGAAAATAATCAGCATGGGACCTATTGCCCAAAGGCACCAATTTTTTATTTGAATCAGTGTTCCAACTCCCACTCATGCTCAGGAGGTGTCATTGCTTACAGCTAAGACTGTAAAGTCTGGGCCTTTGTGCACATATACACGTTTCTGGAACTCTCTGTATATCTATTCCTTTCTGAACCCAGGAGATAGAGCCACCACCACTGCGTTGGCAAAGTGATTATTGCTGGAAGACACTGCACATAGCTCTCATCACATAGAAGCACTCAGTGAAGGACAACTCTAGCATTCTCTTCTTTGGTGGTCAGCAGCAGCAGCAACAAGGCCAAGGGAATGTGTTGAGCCCAGGGGCTTCACTGCAGCCTTCTGTGTTTGTTTAGGAAGGCTTCAGGAAAGCCTAGTGGGAAACCCTTCCCCTCCTGTCTTCCTTCTTTCCAGTATTGGGTTCCATGGTTTTACCTGGCCTCCAGCAGCAGCCCCAGGTTCAACAGTCAGGGTGAACACAATGTAATAGGCATCACTGCACACTAGCTAGGAACGGGGATCCTGAATATCTCAGAGACCTGGATTCTTGTCTTGTCTCATTCACTCTCTGGGTGTCTGGCTCTGCCATACTGTGCCACCTCAGAGCCTTTATCTTCTCAACAGGGCCCTAGGGATTGGATTTTGTGAGGCTGAAGTAAGACAGATGAAATGTGTGAGTTCACAGAACAGCCCTGATTCACTACCTGATCCATCCCCTCTTCCCTAAGCCCCTGATCCATGACCTCATCCCTAAGCCCCGGTGATTCCCAAGTACAGTCTTCCCTACCCAGTGCCCACCCCGACTTCCATCCTCAATAGGGAAATAGTGCAGGCTATAGAATCCTGGCCTCATGTGCCCTTTGGTTTCTGTCTTAGGAAAAGCACCTCATTTCCTGCGACTCCAAAATGTCGAGGTGAATGTGGGACAGAATGCCACATTTCAGTGCATCGCTGGAGGGAAGTGGTCTCAGCATGACAAACTTTGGCTCCAGGTAAGAAGAGCAGAAGCTCCTGCTCACACTCCCTACCCCTTCCTAGGAGAAAAAAGTATGTGGTGGGATGAAAGGTCAGAGAGAGAGAGAGAGAGAGAGAGAGAGAGAGAGAGAGAGAATATGCAAGCATGCATGGACTCAGAGACTCTTACTCATATATCCAGCTTTTTTTGCTCAAGGCTGGTGTTCTACCACTTGAGTCACACTTGCACTTCTGCCTTTTACTGGTTAATTGGAGATAGAGTCTCTCCAATTTGTCTGCTTGGGCAGGCTTTGAACTTTAATCTTCATATCTCAGTCTCCTGAGTACTTAGGATTACAGATGTGAGCCACTGATGCCTGGCTCAGGAAGGGACACTTCTAAAGCACCTCTGCTCCTTAGAAGCTTGTTCTCCAAGCCATGGTTTTATTTTAAATCTTAACTACAATTCTGTTATGTTGACATTGGTGTAACTACTTTATAGATGGAGAAATGGATATCCAATAAGAGTTCTAGGTCTAAAATTTGTGACTATAGCTTTCCCTAACTCCTGTGTTTTAAATCAAGATTACCAGGCCTAAGATTCGAGGTATATGACATCATAAAATCTTGACTAAAAGGTTCTTGTATTTCTAGGTAAAAATCAGTCACTTCGTTCCTGGAATAGGTTGCTAGAATGAGTAATCTTTATTTTCTCTAGTTAAATGGACTCAGAATAGCATGTCCGAAAAGTGTTTTCAGCTTGGATAAGTTGTTCTGTCATTCCTGCTTATTGGTGCTATTTTTCAGCAAGTCAAGAAAGTTTGAGGCAGGGGTGGGCACAGGGGTAGAACATAGTGTGATGGTGCTAGCACATACCTGGCTTCAAACTGTGATTTTTCCATTTCAACCTTCTGAGTATCTAGAATTGTAGACATGAACCACCAGTGTCCATTTCCCTTTCATGTTTTTTTTATGTGTTTAATTCATTTATCCTTTTCTCTATCTCTCTTTTGAGACAAAGTCTCACTATGTAGCTCAGGCTGGCCTAAAATTCATGACTCTCCTGCTTGAGCTTCTCCAATGGATTATGGGTTTATACTACCATACCCAACTTTTATTTAACTTAAACTGTTTTTAAACAGGCTTATGGAAGTGTAATTGAGATGCAATATTTGAGGTATACAACTTGACAAGTATGGTATATATTGGTATGTGAAACTATTTCTACAATCAAATTGTTGATCATAGTCATCACATTTCATTTGTAATCACTCCTTTCTACTCTTTCCACCCCAGTGTGTACCAGGTAACTTCTGGTTTTCTGTCTACCAATTTATATACTCTAGACTTTTATATAAGAGAAATTATGAAGTACATATTTTATTCAATGCAATTATTTCAAGGTTACTCTATGTAGTGTATATCAATCCTATTGTTATTTAACTTAGGAGCTACATAATATTGAATTCTATGGAAATGCCACATTTTGTTTTATCCACTCACCTATTGATAAACACCTGTTGGGCTGTGTCTGGCTCCTGGCTGTGAACATTGTGGGCACATGTTCTTCCAGCTCTTGAATGGATGTGTCATTCAGTAGATGTATATTTACTTTTTTAAAGAATGATGAGCTGATTTCAAAAAAGAGTGGTACCATTTTTCATTCCCTCTAGCTGGCCGTGGAAGTTCCATTTATTCCTCTGTCCTTACCCATACCTTCTTTGATTGAGCCTTAATTTGCCTAGAGGTGCTAAGGTACCTCATTGTAGTTTTAAATTTCACTTCCCTGAGGATTAAGGATGTTGAACATGTTTTCATGTGCTCTGTTGCCCAGATTGCTCTGATATACTTTGATGGGAGTTCACATGTCAATTCTCTTCTTAAATCTCGACAGTTGGAAACTCCCTGGGCAGAAAAAGTTCCTCTAGGGACTAATAGTTCTGCCTAGCTAACTTGGAGCTCAGCAGAATGGAAACAATAGCAGTTTTGGCCTCTCTTTCTAAGTCACTCAGTATTAAGTAGTGCTGTTTACTCTTTTCATTATAATTAGCACCGAAGTGAATCTTGTTCCCAGGATGTCTTGTCATGCCAAGGACATTACCTCCCTTGGGTCATGAGGGAAATGAAGTAGGACAATCACAATATTTTCTGCAACTTTATTTGAATTTTCCAATTATTTTATGTTATTATTGCTACAGTTCTGAGTTGCTTACCCTAAACCTGAGGTCTGTGATCAGGAGAATATTACAAAAGAACATAATTGAAATTTTTTAAAAAAACAACAAAAATACATGGTGTGGAGCTCTTCTACGTTATTTACTTACCATATCTTATTTCACAGAATCCTTTTCCCATGGTTTACAATGGGGATCTAAAGTATGGTAAAACAGACTAAATTAAAAGCCAGGCAACGTAAGATAGAAATGAAAGAATCAAAAGGAATTGGTAATCACAGTGAAACTCCTTTTCTACATACTTGCTGCTTTGCCTGGTAGGGCATAAGCAGGGCCTAGAGCACCACAACCACTGATGGAATAAAGAAAGCCTGTCAGATATATAGCTCACAATGTGTTCCAGATAACATGACCCAATTGCTCAGGAAAATTCTATCTGTTGTTCATTCAGAAATCCAAACAAGCATTGTCTCCAGGAGTCTACCTAAAGCAAACTCTGTGTGATGTAATGATAAGCGTCTCTTCCATGGTCTCCTTGAGGGAAAGCAAGTGGGTCCATGGGCTGGACTAGTTTCATATAATAAAGCTCTGTCTAAAAGCAATCTGGGGAGGGGAAGGAGAGGAGGGATGGTAGGTGATAGGTATGACAGAGGCTCCCAACTTTCTGTTAATTTGTACCCATTCTAGATATCTTAAACTTATCTGGTGAGTGAACAGATCTGATAAAGATTCCTCCAGTGAAACCTTTCTAAATATTATCTCTTGTATTCATATTTTAGAAAGTAGTGGGAAGGAAAATCTGTACAGTAAATTCTGGCATGCATGTGTGGCTATGAGGTTCAGGCTTATGTGCAATGGTGTAGTTGGAAGTTGGTTTATTGGTTGGTACACACACACACACACACATGCACACACATATATGCATGTACAAATGAACAGAGATTTATTTTGGAAAGTTGGCTCACATGATTATAGAGACAGAGAACCTACCATTTTCTATCTTCAAGATAAAGACCCAAGGATACTGGTGATATAATTCAGCCCAAGTCCAAAGACCCAAGATCTAATATGGCTGATGGTATAAATCACAGTCTAAGGACAGGAGAAGGTCCATGGGCCAGTTGAGGCAGGCAAGCAGGAAGCACAGGGCAAATTCCTCCTCCCTCTACCTTTCTCTTCTATCTCGACCTTAGAAAGGTTAGGTGATGCTGGCTACCCACCCACATTGGAGAGGGGAACCTAAAACATTACAAAGTCCACAGAATCAAATGTTAATGTTATCTAGAACCATCATCAGAGACAATGCTTAATCTGGGTACCCTATTGCCCAGTCAAGTTACTGATGACATTAACCACATGATCATGACTTAACAGTGTTTGACAAACATAGAAGGCACCAATTAAGATACCTGCCAAGAGGAAATGGCTGAAGCGCCGATGTAAGATAGGAAAAATTCATGCCGATTTATGAGACATTACTTCGGCTGAAGCTTTGGTAGACTTGCCAGAGTTCTTTTCTACGCCACAAGGCTAGAGTGACTTAGCCTGAGAATTTCTTTTTTTTCGTTTTCATTTTGTATGTTTTTTATTGTAACAATGCTGTACAGCAGGGTTACAGTTACATGAGCAAGGTAGTGAGTACATTTCCTATCGAGCGTTGTTGCCTCCTCCTTTGTCTTCCCCTATCATCCCTTCCCTCCCACCTCCACAACTACCCACCTCCCCAGCTGAAGTTGTAAAGTTCATTTTCAACAAAGTGCTTTGTACATCTCATTGTTACAATGGTTCAACCTGCATCCTTATTTAAGCATTTTGTTTTTTCCCTTCCCCTCCTGGAATTAGAGAAGTGTATATACAAGATGCTGGGCACTGACATCAAATATAGTGAGAACAGGGGTTATACAATGGGGGAGGAATATACAAAGAAACAAAAAAATCACATGGCACATAATAAATACGTTAGAAACAATAGCAAGAAAGAAAAAAGATACTTGTGTCCCTATCTTGGGGTTCATTTCACTTAACATCACCTTATATGGCCATATCTACATAGCTTTTGGCCTTTTCTGCTAGTCCTACACATGTACTAGTAATTGCAAACAAGGAAAACCATGGGACCTATGTTTCTTTGGGACTGGATTACTTCACTTAATATAATTTTTTCCAACTCTTTCCATTTCCTAACAAATGGGGCAATTCCATTCTTTCTGATGGAGGCATAGAATTCCATTTTGTGTTTGTGTGTGTGTATGTGTGTGTGTGTGTGTGTGTGTGTGTATATACCACATTTTCTTGATCTATTCATCTACTGAGGGTCACCTGGGTTGGTTTTATATCTTAGCTATGGTAAATAATGTTGCAATAAACATAGTTGTGCTGGTAGCTTTAGTATAGCCTTGTTTGTGATCGTTTGGGTAAATGCCCAAAAGTGGGATTGCTGGGTAATAGGGGAGCTCTATGTGTAGTCTTTTGAGGAACCTCCATACTACTTTCCAAAGTGGCTGAACAAGTTTACACTCCCACCAACAATGCAGTAGGGTTTCCTTCTGTCCACATCCCCTCTAGCATCTGTTGTTATTAGAGTTCTTGATTATAGCCATTCTAACTAGGGTGAGGTGGTATGTCAATATTGTTTTGATTTGCATTTCTTTTATGGCTAGAAAGGTTGAACATTTTTTCATGTGGCTATTGGCCATTCTTATTTCCTCTTCAGAGAAATTTCTCTTTAAGTCTTTAGCCCACTTAGCCTGAGAATTTCTAAAGTAAGTGAAACAAATACATCAGAACCAAAAGAGTCTCCATACAAGACCTGTGGTGGTCCAGCCATCAACAGTGCCTTTACCTCCTGGAGCTTCTGGGATAAG